CCGTACGTGTAGCATTATTGCTAATTATACAACGCAAGTACTCCCTTCGTCCGAAAAAGCTTGTCCCTCAAATGGATGTAGGTTGCCCCAAGTTAATGGTAGATACCATACATCCATTTAAGGGACAAGCTTGAGACAAGGTTTTTCAGACAGAAGGTGGACAATTAATTAGCTTCTAGAGCACTGACCCATTAACCACGTAATAGTACAACCGACCTCTAAAGCAAACATTTAGATATATACACAAGGGCCCCAATTTCATTCAAAGTTTATCATTTTTGTCTCAAAAGATGTCATAGCATGCTCGAGTGCAACAATGCAAAAGAAGACTACAAAGAGGCGACCACATTGCTCTATTTTCTGCCAGACATCCCAGTATAAAGCTAAAAACATCATCATAAATAGGCCACTGACAGCATCTAAGACGCTTCGTGTTGCGTCATTTTAATACTGCGTTGGTACAACCCTTCTGAATACATTAACGGATGAGATCTCTTCATACCCCTTTATAATAAAGGGTAGTATGGTCTTTCTTAAAATGTGTCGCCTCTGCAGAGCCCACCAAAATGCGGCCTGTGTATGTATGATACGTCTCCGTCGTATCTACTTTTCCAAACACTTTTGCTCTTGTTTTGGACAATAACTTGCATGATTTGAATGGAACTAACCCGGACTGACGCTATTTTCAGCAGAATTGCTATGGTGTTATTTATGTGCAGAAACAAACGTTTTCGGAATGACCTGAAACTTCACGGAGCAACTTTTTGGAAAATATAAAAAATACCTGCAAAAGACGAAGGCCAGGGGGCCCACCACCTGTCCACGGGGATGGGGGGGGGCGCCTGCCCCCATAGGGCGCGCCCCTACCTCGTGGGCCCCCTGGAGCTCCTCCGACTCCAGCTCCAACTCTATATATTGTGTTTCGGGAAGAAAAAAATCAGAGAGAAGAATTCATCGCGTTTTACGATACGGAGCCGCCGCCAAGCCCTAAAACCTCTCGGGAGGGCTGATCTGGAGTCCGTTCGGGGCTCCGGAGAGGGGAATCCGTCGCCATCGTCATCATCAACCATCCTCCATCACCAATTTCATGATGCGCATCGCCGTGCGTGAGTAATTCTATCGTAGGGCTTGCTGGACGGCGATGGGTTGGATGGGATCTATCATGTAATCGAG